TATATCGTATAGAGCATTGTCTTGTATCTTATAGAGCATTGTCTGGTACCTTATAAATCATTGTCTTGTATTATAGAGCATTGTCTTGTACCTTATAGATCATTGCCTTGTACCTTATAGAGCATTGTCTGGTACCTTATAGAGCATTGTCTTGTATCTTATAGAGCATTGCCATGTACCTTATAGAGCATTGTCTTGTATCTTATAGAGCATTGCCTTGTACCTTATAGAGCATTTTTATCACAGGCTTTCCCAAAAGATTAAACTGACCACATTGGACGTTGGCGTCAGGTCATTTCATTTTCAACTACGAAAACTTTCGTTAAGAGATATTTATTTTCGGTATCGATTCGATTTTCGGGTTGTCATTTGACTAAATAGTCCCTTTAAAGCTTAATAGTTGCCCCTTTTAACAGACAAAACATATGTCATTTAAATTCTTCATGTTTTGTGTATTATTGATGGCAATCCCAAAAAATAAACTAAAAATAAAAGCGAATCGTTCCAAGTATAGGGAAAGACGATTTACCACGAAATGCCGTGCACAAGGCACCCGAAAGGCCGACCAGCCATGCGGGCGCTACCTGGCGTAAAACTTTACAAATTTACCAGGTCCATCGTGCTAAGCCTCGTTTTCGCTGCACGTTTCTATTTTCAAACGGCTTTATACAGATTTTAAAGATACTCTTCCTCATAACTGTCGTATACTCGGTAAACCAAAAAACGGATTACGTATTACGGATTTCCTATGAGATATGTAGAATTGTCGTTTTACCATCAATCCTTTGATTCAGTTTGCCGTTCGGTAACTCCGACTGTTTTAGATCCATTCGGAATTTTCGACATTCCAGCAAACGAAACTCGTTAGAGGACGGATACAAGATAAGAGCTGTTTTTGCAACACGTTATCCTCGTTCTTACATATTCAAGGTCACATATCAGATCAAAATTGACTGTAACATAGAGTTATCTCCCCTGTAAAAGTTTCCATCAAAATGGCGACGAATGCTGAGAAGGAACCGGCTGCGCTTAAACTTCGTCCAAAAAAGATAGTNCAGATGTACTTTAAATGACATTTACGGTTATTAGGTCGTTAGGACCCCCTGCGAGGTTAATTAGAGTTAATCCGGAATGCCTGTCCTATGTTGGAATACCGACCCGACCGTACACAGACGTGCAGCTTTGGGCCAACATTGATACGGCTCTGCGACACGGAATATCGACTTCGGCCATCACTCCTTTATATCAAAAATATTAGGGGGATTATAATTCGCTCATTCGAAAGAAAAGTGAATAAATCAAAGACATTGTGTACAGTTGTTTAATTGTGAGTGGTATGGCATTGCTCCCTCGCTAAGCTCAACATACTTCTGAGCATCTCCACATGTTCCCGCAACTTGTTTGTAAACACTGCATTTTTTCTCCAATAACATGACAACACGACCTGTGACGTCACAGTATCCTTTGATGCGCCATGAGTTGAGTGTTAAGCGATCGTTCCAACACCAAATAGCTGTTTTGTTACAGTTACCCCCTGTGCAAAACCTTGAACAAAATAGGATATACTGCTTCCGCCACCAGACACACTCCTTCATCCATCTTTTGCTGCCAATAGTGTGGGTATCGGACCTATGATGACGTCAGTGCCATTACCCCGGATGATAAGATTTTGACAAATTAAACTCTTATTACACCATAATTTCAAGAAATCCTGCAGTTTGCTGTCATTAGCAAACTAACCTTTCATGGCCTATAAAACAATCGGTGGGGTGGATGAGAAAAATATCCAGAGCGGCGTTTTACTATAGTTCATTTAGTGAAAATGGCGAGATAACCGATCACAGAAACTCTTATTCTGCTTACGTAATCAGCATGCACTACATCCGGCGATTTAGAGTGTGACGTCATCACTGTTTGACCAAGAGTAATACCGATGTACTGTATAACTATTTACAGAGTACAGAAAGCTGGAACGCTAACTTGTTCTATATTAACTAGGGTTATTTATGGGCGCTACAATCACAAGGTCTCTGGTTCCTCACCTCCTCACAAACATCAGCGTTATAGTATTTCCGGGGGCGGGCAGCAATTTCGTATTAATTTAACACAAGCGGAAGTGGTTAGACTTGTTGTACTGGTGTACCACCGGAGATGGGTGATGTATAAAGCCATAGCTGTTCCACATTTGTACATCACTGTTTACTAATGTGTTAATAGTCTTATACACAGGTAGTTAATAATTGCAATATTATGATTGGTGGTCGGGTGGCGCAGTGGGTAGTGGGCAGTGCACTCATCGTTCACCAAGACGGCCGGGGCTCGATTCTCAAATCGGATGTGAAATGATTATGGAGTCACCTGCCAATCCGTGAGGGATTTTAACTTCGGTTACCTTGTACATTAACACACCCTTCGCACTTCCATCCCGGCCAATAAAATTATCAATACATTAGTTGATGGAATTTGTTTAATGATTGTTTTAAAATAAATAAAGTTTAATGCTAAAAAAATAAAAGAATCTGTGCGCGTTACTCAATTAATCCTTCAATCGCTTCCATTTAATGCTTGAATTTTTTTTTGCGTTATTATTTGCGTTGATGCTTGTCAGTGTCGGTAAAACAGTCTGATTAAAACAGTATTGAATCTGTTTCCACTTTTTATATAAAAAAAAATATGTGAAACTGATGTGATGTAAACCTCAGTTCTCTGAAATCTTCTATCACTCCGTCTCTATACTTGTTCCTTTCACAAAACGCCACGTGCGTACGTTTTTTCAGGAACTTTTGATATTTAGCTAGATATGTAAAGGTCGGGTGTCCCGCGATATCAGGTGTATGGCTCCAGGTCGGTAGCTACAGCTGTTTTAAGTACGCTCACCGTCGTCGTTAAAACGGCATTCCCATACTTCGTAATTCCCCGTTAACCAGTATTGAGCAATGACATCTTTGTCATAAAGTCTCTATGACTTGTGTTAATTATTATATCAGTATATCTAACAAGCTTGGTGAATTATGTTTGTTTACGCGTTCATGCTTTATATTCACATGTGCCAATGCGTTCTATTTCCATGAATAAGCTACATAAAAAAATAAGACCCGAGGAAGCATTCTGCCAACTTTACGACCATTCGCCTTGACTACAAATCCGTCACCTTGACAACCATAACGTCACCCTAAAAACCAAATTTCAAATTGACAACATTTCAGTCAACTTAACCACCATGCAGTCACCTACCTAAATTACCATTCTTTTTCATTGACGACTATTACTTCACCTTAATGACCATTATATCACCTTGACGACCAGTCCGTTACCTTGACGACCATTCCGTAACCGTAACGTAATCTTGCTTGACAATGTGATAACAATCTGACTACCAGTTTGAGCGACTATTCAGAATGGGTATCAATGCAGAACAGTTGTCATAATGTATTAGAGTATCTGAAGACTTCGTAGTTTAGAAAATTTTTGTTATGTGATTATTAAGATTCTATAAATACTGACATGATGGCATAACGATGACTGCCGACATTCCCGACATGTTATGTTTAGCGTTGTAAATGGAGCATATCGTTGCTAATGGTAAGTACCTGTTCACCCACCGCTCGTCCACACACAGCATAAATCAATTCTAATCGCCTTGCCTCCCTCTCCCAACAATCTTTATCTTGTATCCAACTGTTCATACAACAAAATATAGCTGCGAACATCTAAAACCGTCCCCGAAATCCGCAGTTAAATTGTTCTAACATGGACCCAGTGTTTGTTTATATGGCGTGTAATGTGCGTAGAGCCAGCTTCATCAATGTTTCTGAATGAACGATATCTCACGACTCCGATTATTGATGCTAAATGGACACTATATGCCGCCCCCAACTAAAAGCTCCCCGACAGCACCAGACTATCACACACCTAGCACTGTAGACTCTTACTAGCATTGTTTGTTTAGCCCCCTCCCAGTTTTACCAGAAGGCGATATTTCGAATTCCTAATGGTCCATAATGAGAGATAGACTCTAAAATAAACGCGTGTGTATTAGATTAGTATCGTGTGTTTCTGCTGATATTTCCTAAGAAAATATTACTACATGTCAGGGTGTCTATCTGTCCATATACAATTATACCTGACATATACAAGTATACCTGCCTTATGCAATTATACATGACTTATACAATAACACCTGACATATACAATTATACCTGACTTATACAATTATACCTGACGTATACCTGACTTATACGATTATTCCTGACTTATACCTGACTTATACAATTATACCCGAGTCACTTATACCTGACTTATACAATTATACCAGAGTCACTTATACCTGACTTATACAATTATACCTGAGTCACTTATACCTGACTTATACGATTATACCTGACTTGTACAATTATACCTGACTAAAGTCGAGCGATGTGAGCGAGCAGTGTACAAGCTCCTTTCTCGACTCCTTACACGATACCGTTAATTACAGGTAGATTCAATCAGACGCTATTCTTACCTGTAATCAGGTTAACACACAGTCGTGGTATCGGGTACAGAAACACAGCTTTCCAACACCCCTTGTATAACTTAGCTTACCCTATACTTAAAACGATTTGGAACTCTTCTCTGTTTGAGATAAACATATTACGCTGGATTAACCAGTATACCCTTACGAGAATACGGTCAAATCAATACCATTAGTTATGCTGTTACGACGTTATACAATCGGTTTTCCTAACGTCTGTCTCAGTTTGAGGTATAGATCTATTTCACAAATTAATTTCAATATGTTGAATTCTTTACAATGACTAGTACTTTTTACGTGGTTGACAATTTACAATTTTACCGAGTTGAATCTGTCTTGTTTTGTTTATCATGCAAAGGAACCTTGGTCTTGTTGAGAGGAAGTTTGGTCTTGACGGATATAAATGTCTTCTTTAAAAGAAAAGATGTGCATACAAGTAAATATATTAATACATATCAGATTATTTTTTTTAGAAAACTTGACTTACCCCGCGCGACTGCCGTCGTTGCACGTGATGCTGGCGTTCTTGAGAAAATGTCGCTGTAGCCTTGGGATCTCTTTCAGGCCGCAGTTATGAGACTTTTGGGCAATGTCTTTGAGGGATTTCATTAAGGTATCCACACGACCCAGCCTTTCGAGTTTGTTAACGTCCAGAGCCATGTCGTGGCGACTTTGCGACTTGTCCGGGCGACACATGGCGTAGTGAAACAGGACTAGGATCCACACCAAGGACGAGGCAAACCTCGTCATAGTAAGTCAGGGGCCTGCAAAACGTTAATGTCCTTCACAAACCTTCTCACTCACAATTACTTTTTGTTTATAACGTTTTATATAGATTTACCCTTTTAAATCCGTGCGTAGTTGCATCAAATAATTGCTTACAAATGCATTGTTATAGATATTTTTGATCAGTAATACAAGCTGCCCGAATGAAAATTGAATTCCTTATCCAAAGTATAATTTCTGAGAAATTGTTTTATGTATATAGACAGGTGATGTTACATCCAGACGATTACCCTAACGTCACGAGACCATCCCACGTATCAATGTACACCAATTTGTGTTAAATCCTGAAATACATTCCAGGTCTAATTCAGTCAATAACGTGCCTTGATCCATTGGACACACCCCTTTCACACACGCGCGAAAAATCGAATTATTGCTTCCAACAAAAATCTTTCAACGACCCAGTGATTGATTCTAAAACATGTTCATCTTTGAAGATGATTTCGAGTAGCTGATATGCCTACGACATATTATTTCTCCTTGGCAGAACACGCACACATATACTCCTAGGAATTTGTCAAATGAAACTTTGTTTTTAAATTCATTAAATATTTCAGAAGTAAATTTATCACACATCACTGCGAAGAAAATAAATAGGGGAAAAAACATCAAAAACTCCGTCTGCAGTAGACGCCGATAGTAGGTTGTGTGATACACACACTGAGACACCTGTACGTATCGCAGGTTTAAAGCCCTTTGAACAGAGCCGCCCTGAGCCTAGACTAAAGCCACGACTCTCTCTCTCACACCTACAGCGGACTCCGACAGCGGTCACTGGTGCTGCTCGAGTGAGGGGGATCAGCCGCTCACCACACCATCAAAGGTACCGCCAGCTCGCTCCACTGATCCCTCTATAACTACTCGCCGCTCGCCCAACTCGCCCTAAATAATATTTTAATCTAATCATTTCATTTTTTACCTACGTTAACTGTATGTGTATAAGTTTTTTTATATGTTTTACTTTTTGATAACTGGGTTCCGTATTTGTATTATAATGTATAACACCTGTGACTGGAGGAAACAGACGTCATTTTCATAGATAGGTGTTGGAGACCCTCCCCCTTTTCGGAAGGTAACTGTCAATCATTTTTCCGGATACAATTTACCGTATTTGATTCGTTCGTTTTACACTATGCACTATCCCAGTTCCATTCGCACGATTAACATTGATTAGAATGATAAATGGTATGTGATTGTTCGTATCACTTTGATGACTGTGACAGACAAGGCTGTGTAGTACTACACGTGCTACACGTGTTTTAACCCCATAACTAAATAGGGTATACCTGACTAAGCCTATCACTTCCAGTATTTTCTTTGGGAAATGGACTATGTGATCACTGACAGGCCTATAATTACCAGGTTAAATGATACATGAACTGAGGTCAAACCACGCGGGGTCACATTGGGTTTATTACAAATTTAAATAAAACTTCAACCGTTTGATGAAGAAAAAATATCTGAACAAAGACAATAAAGATTTGAAGTTTTCGTGTGACAAACAGTAAACGTCCACACATAAGATAGCATTCATACATTTTAGTGGGCGATTTCATGTATTCATAAAAATCGACAAAAAAGAAATGATAATTCCAATGAATGAACCCCCAGCACGGCCCTCTGCCCTAGGTGATACACACCGGTCCCTCTGGGAGAAGTTCTCTGCATTATTTCACGGCGGCCGTTTGATGTAGTCGTGTTTCGATGTCTCTGGAACATCAAAGGGAGCTTACTTGGCACAACCAGTTGTTTTTTTCTGCATATGATCGCTCGCAGAAACCAAGACTTACCCTTGCGGTAACGCTTGGATCAGACCAAGTGCGTTTTAATTCAATACAAGGGTGATGGTGCATCTTCGGATTGACTTCAAATGTCATCGATATATCGACGATCAATCCATTGTTCTATCTGCACAGGTCACAGATTTGACCTCGACAATGTGCCAGTATTGCATGTATATCCGCCTAATATCCGCATATTTGTCGTTTACAGATGAAAGCGAAATTTCTCAGGTATTTATTGATGTCTTTATGGCCGATCGAATATTCCCGCCAGTGTAAAGGGGCAATTGTTCATTTTTCCGGAAAAATGAGTCCGGAACATTCCCGACTTTAGTTGAAGACCTTCTTTAAAATTCCATCGTTGTAATAACAATATCACACGTTTCTTCCTGCTTCAGGTTATTTATCGTTACAACTTTCGTTTGGACATACCATCGCTGATATTGAACGTACATCAAACGATCGGGTGTAAAGATCCCTTTTATCGCTGAAAGCGTGCTTAAGATTGGGAACATCTGTACACTGGCCGAGCTATTGATTTTACACGTGCATTCCAATACATCTCTGGGTAAACCTTGATGGTGTGAGAGTATGTCCTAGATACCAACAATGATAAAGATACGGTTGTTTGTAGTCCATGGATGGACTGTGTGGACCATTTAGACAATAACGGAGACTTATGATGGTCTCTGGCAGTGTGGACACGTCACGGAAAGAAAACCCGTCTATTATCGTATGGTCGAGAAAATGCCGTGTATTTTTAAACTTATTTCATGAGTTCATTTTGTTACTTCAAAAAGAGGTATCCTTGAAGTTTATAACTATACAGCAGACTTGTATTCAGTACGTCTTCTTCTCCCATATCTGGTCCGTCGAAGTCTTTACAACTGACAAATTGATATGAAAAATAGTCAACAACACAACACAGCAATGTAGGATCGATACACAAAATCCTAACCTGTCCAAATTTTTATCGATAAATCAATTTCCATTGTTCGTTACATATTGCGAGTAAGTAAATGTGCTCAGTGCTTCAATTATCGCAAATATAGCAAATAAACCAATGTCCATCGCGCTTCAAATAAAGCAAAACATTAATTGCCTCTGTTTTTCTTTTATCGCAAATGAATCAATGCCCGCTGTTTCTCGAACATCGCAAAGCAATTAGTATAAATCAATGTCCTACGTTTGTATCACAAATATATCAAAATCAACCAAATTCTACCTTGATTCAAAATCGAAAATAAACCAATGTCAAGCGTGCTTCAATTATAGCAAAACAATAATGTTCACCTAGCTCAAAACATCGGAAATACATCATTGTCTATTGGGTTTGAATCATCGCTTATCAAACAATGTCCACCATGCTTCAAATAATGTTTCATCCGTGCTTGAAATATCGCAAATGAACCAGTTTCCACTGCGCTTCAATTTTCGCTAACACGTCAGTCTATTACATTTTCCGTACTGAAATATCGTCGATTAAGTGCATTATTGCTGCATTTCAAAATATAGTGAAAAGAAAGTTTAATGGCTTTTCTAATGAATAGTATTTATATTTTAGTCGGATTGTAAAAAGCACCGATATTTTCGCTTGTGCTTCGCACTCGTGAAAAAAATATTGATATTCTGCCATAGTTGTGAAAGATATGTGGTATTCCTCGGGAACCTTTAAAATGCTGTTTGGCCTTCATTCTCCAATAAAACTAATAAATCAATGTCCGCCATGCTCCAAGTATATACAATCAGCCCGTGTTAAAGATACTCCAAAACAAACGGTTCATTCTTAAGTAGCTTATCTATCTTTGACGACGCTATGTTTTAATCAAATAATGGCCGACCACGCGATAATATAATAAAATTATTTTACGAATTTGAATATATTAGAGTATGTATCACGTGACAGGGGACCCAGAGAAAATGAAGTGAATTTAATACTCTAGAGTCGCTAATGGGTAGGTAAATATAAGCCAACCACAGACTCCAACCTACAGTGTCACTCCGTGATAAGTGTCGAGGTCCAGTCCGTTGCTCCTCTCAAAAACGCTCTAAGATACAGTCAAAGTGGAGAGCGGAGGAAGACAACAATACGCGCGTACGACACGTACAGGTTTTACAGTCGGAACGTCATGCTGGGTCACTGACTAAACGCGTCATGTTGGGTCACTGACTAAACGCGTCATGCTGGGTCACTGACTAAACGCGTCATGTTGGGTCACTGACTAAACGCGTCATTCTGGGTCACTGACTAAACGCGTCATGCTAAATGTTTTTCCTGAAGATATGTCATAGTTCTTCAGCTGGAACGTCATGACGAGCAATGTACCAAAGCATTGAATACCTTGAGGAAAACACCGAGTAGAACGAGGACAAAAATAGCCTAGAATCGATGTTTTGCTATTAAAGCACAAGTTCATGGTCATAAAGGAATCAACGGAACATTACTCCAGTGTATAATGGTGCTAGGCAAGGACTTTTCATCGAAATGTACGTCTATATATCTGACTATTATATTACTGTTGGTACTCTACGGGTTTAAGTGTACCTGTCCATTAAATTTGGTTTGTCATTAACAGAGTAAAGATTACCCGACCATTACATAACTGTTAGTACTTTACAGATTTATCCGACCTGTCATGACGTATGTACTTGTACATTGTATCCCCTTATAGAAGTAGATGTTTGAGCCATTCCGCGGGGCTAGTCAGTGTGGCGGTTCCGCCTTGTTCTAGGGAGACACTGTGTGGGTATAGGATGGTGTTAGGGGCCATCTGTGTTTGGTATCACAACCCTAAATCTTGTAATCCTCGTCAATGTGGTCGTAACGATGCGAGTAACCTGTTGATGTGAAATTTTCGTCCTACTATTTAAACCGCTGTTAACCCTAATACAGCCACGTCGGTCACAACTTAGGTTATTCTTCACACCTTATCATAGCAAATGTTATTCTTTAGTGGAAGTGTGAGTTTCATTTTCAAATGACACATCCTGAGAGTTTGTTATGTTTGTTGAAATAAAGACAATTTGTTTAAGAAGTATTTTTTCAGTTGGGTTTAAGCTAACAGGATGGTTTTCTAACACACGATAATTAGTGCTTCCCACATTATCAACAAATAACCTTGGTTGATTCCGCAAGTGATGAACTTGTACTAAGACCTAGGACGGAACTGCACCGGGCCTGTACACAAAACAGACCCTCTTTAAAAAGAAAAACGAACTATTTGATAAGTTTTTAAGTGATGAAGCATTCGCTCATTACTTTGTAAAGGTTCGGGTCGAAGATAAAACGAAGCTTTATCTATTTTAAACACAGAAATAGATAAACAACCTACAGCACATCGGAAAACAAACAATGATAGAGTTTAAAACGACGCTTTGACCCTTCCCTGGTGTACCCAAGTCCACACCTTGTAACATTAATTAGCTTCTGTTTTCTTACATTTCTGAGTTTCAAGCGTGTGGAATTAAAAAAAAACTACACATTTGCCAATCCTTCAAACTTTGAATACCATTCAATTTGATAGTAAAATATTTATTTTATAAATCGTATTGTAAATGAAACGTTTACCTTTCGATATATGCCTTCAGCTATTACCGAAAGAATTATTATGTAGTAAATGCGCGCAAAGGGTTCGTGTTAAGCATGAAACTCGTAGCGTAATGTAACGTATCAGAAAAGTCTTTGTTTCAGAACGAGTAACTTCCGTTATGTTTTGATCACCGGCCGTTATACGAGATGTCGCTACCATCTTGAGCAAAGATAATCCATTCAAGTAAAGACGGCATTATGCAAGGAAGCAATTGATGTTTGAAATAAAAGAAAAATTATAAAAATAAAAACACCGGTTTCTATATGTTCTATCGGTGGGCGATCCGTTGATAACGCCGCTGTCGCCATTACCATAAGCCGGTACCCTGTACGGATATCGGTATGTCGTAAAAATGAACAACCTTATTATTTAGACGCAGATGAAAACCACATATACGTGTGTTTGTATTACCTACATCATACGACAAGGCGGCCTTTAAAAACCTGTCAATAACCGCGTGTTTGAAGAATTCAGCAGATTTGATCAAGAATCGAGTATAT